CTGAGGATGGAATCAACTCTCAGGGAGGCCCATCTACCACAGAGGCTCAGACTTAAAGACACCACAGCCTTTTTTTCAGAGAAGTATTTGGCCAATGAGCACCACTTGTTCTGTATTGAACTCCGTTCCTAATGCTAAATCCCATTTATTTTGAAAGATTATAGAGTGATGGTAACAAATTTAAAAAACACTCCACAGCCTCTGAAAATGGCAAAACGAATTCGCTTCTAATTGACAGTCTCAAAAGTGAAGTTGTTTTCATGAAAGAAAACATCTTTGAAAAGGGTTGGTTACAAAATGAAGTATTTTTAACAATCCTGTAATGATGTACATGGCAGAAAAATGCTCCCAGCACTGATTTTTAAGAGTGAATTCTAGCACCTTCTTAGAGAGAGAGGGTGCATGGGGGAATAGAGTAAACTCACAACCAGACCTAAGGTTATTTCTTTTCTTGGGAATTAGGGCAAATAAAAAAAGAAACATCTATACCCGATGTTCAAACAATCCTTTCTAGTTTGATCCAATCCTTTCTCCCTAAAAGCACATTCTAAGTGCCCCAGATGTGTGAGCTGAGAGACACACTGCTCTTCCTGTTCTTTGCCTCTACTGGATTAGAATCAAGTCCGTCATCCCTCTGTCCCCGATGTCCTGCCCCGAATGAACAACACAGGGGTGGCTTTTTCAAATTAAACGCATCTGGTGGTTAGTGTTCTCCTTTCACCTTTAGTGTGAGAATCCTAATCCTAAAATGGCTGTGTGAGAGTCTGCAAGATTGAGGAATTTATCTGTTGTGAAGTGGAAAAACTTACCCCAACGATGCCTTGCCAGACTTCATGTAACATTATCAGACTGAAGAACAGCACTTTCATCTGAAAATTGCAAAGTAGTCAACAGGTATTTCAAAAAGCACTTTAAAATAGATGCCAGTTTATATGTTCATAGCCATGCTTCCCAGACCCAAGTGTGTCAGAATCACTGGGAGGGCTTGTGAAAACACAGCTGGCTGGGCCTGCTCCCCCTGAGTTCGGATTTCTGGGTGAGGGCTGAGAATCTGAATTTCTTTCAGATCCCTATGTAACGATAACCACAGCCCTGTAACACATCTATGACTGTGCCTTTGTTAAGTATGGCAGTGAGAAAGACACTTGGATGGAGGCAGGAGACCTGTGTTCTCCAGCTAAGTGGATCTTGGGCCTCTCACTATACTTCCACCAGGATTTGCTGAGCAACTATTATGTGCAAGGCACAGAATAACAGAAAAGTCTTTACCTTTAAGGAGCTCTCACATGAGTAGCTGGATGTCTAAATTACTAATTTATCAGAACATGCTGGGAGTTATAAAGGGATACAAATGATGGCTTCAGAAGACAAGCTCAAGCCTTGATAGCCATGGGGAAGGTGACAGGGTGAGGCTGTGGGGACCAGCGGGAGCCAGTGGGCACTTCTGGGCAGGAGGGTGGCATGGTCACAGTGGTGTTATATTGGTCAGAACTCTTCAACACTTGTCACTGAAGCTGAACACAAATTTAAGCAAAAAAAGAGGGTGGGGGACTTACTGCCTTAAGCAACTGCAGAGCCAGGGGTGATACTGGTCCCTCACCTCTCAGCTCTGCTTTCTTGTACTGCTGTAATTCTCTGACAAGACCCAGCCATGGAACACAGATGCCACCAGCAGTCCTGGCTTTACTTTCTAGGGACACAGTAACTATGACCTGACAACACTCACTGTTCGTCCTGATGAGTCAGGGACCTAAGCACACTGACTGGCCAGGCCTGGGTCACATGCAGGTGTAGTGAGATCAAGTCCCCCTCCCTGTAGCCCCCAGCCTGTGTGGAGTTGAGCTGGTTTCTTAAAAAAAAAAAAAAAAGCATGGTGCTGTTTTCAAAGAGAGTCTCCACTTCAGGTCACTGTACAGGAAACAAGGAAGAGTTACCATAGATATGAACAACCTACTGGGATCCAAAAGCTATCGGGGACGCAGTATAACCAAACGTCCCTTCTCACTTCTCAGCCCTTTGCCAGTGATTCTGGCACAATCTAGCTTCTGTTCTCCAGGATGCACAGCCCACAGCATCTCTCTTCTGCAGCAGCTAGGACCCTGCTATGGGACCTGTCCTCACCTTAGAGGTGGGTGAGCCCCTCCAGGCCATGGTCTCTGATGTTTCTGTCACCTCCAAGTGTTTAATCTGCCCAGGTGGGATCAGTTCAGCTGCTGTGCAGATGTTCCCCTTAGCATGAGGCCCACTGTGGCTGCCTTGGAAGGTGCCTTATGGCCTGGCCCCGTGGAGGATGCTGTGGCTTCTCCTGCTGTGCCCCAGCTGGGCCACATACAAGTGGTGTTACATAGCAGGGGCACCACTCTGCGCTGCCCCCCAGGACCTGCTTTCTCCAAGGTTCTTGGAAGGGAGCAGGGAGCACAGTGGTGGAGGTGCTAGGGCAGACATGGGGCTGACTCTCCATCAGGCCCTGGTGCTTCTCTTATCCCATGTGTTCAGCAGGTGTGAGGACATATACCCGCTGCAAAAGGCCACTAACAAATGGGAGCTGCTTTCCCTCCCCGTCACAGGGCCAGACACCACTCCAGGGTTACAGCAGGTCTAAGGGTGCTCAGGCCTCCAGAGGAAGGCCCCTCTCAAACCCCATCTGAGTGCACGGTGTGGTGGTCGTTCCCCTTCTATGAGACCCCAGAGCTTGGGCCCCTCTGACACCCATGGGCTGGCTGGGAAAAGGCATCAGCCAGCATCAGCATGGCTGCCTCTGGATTCTGTGCAGAGACCCTTTGGGGCCAGGGCCCTGGCTTTCAGCCTCTAGGGCGAACTCTCCTCTTGGCCTCTGAAGCTGCCTGCAAAGGACTGTGTAAGACACAGGTCCAAACAGGAGCACCCTCACTTCTACTCCAGGACAGACTGATTCAAACTGAGACTTGAGCCTGGGTGTGCCTCAGCACAGAGTAAAGACACCCATGGGGCCAGGTTTTTAGGACTAGGGTCTCCTCACAAATCACCATTGTGTGGGTTCCGTAGGGGGTGGGTTAGCATCATCCCTCGGCCTGCTTTTTTGAAGCCATTTCACACCCATCATCATTCCTTCAAATGTGGAGGAGTAAGAGGCCTCCCCTCAACTTGACAGATCACTTTCTGACGCTGGTATCTCTGGCAGGGCACACCAGAGCTGCAGGAAGAGCTCTGACTCCTCCTGAATTATGCCTCTTTGCTCTATTAAATAGAGAATTTGCTGATAAAGTATAGAGTGCAGGAAAACGTTTTGCAGCACATCTGGCAGTTTGAATGATGTTATTTACAACAGCTATAAATTGATGTGCTAGCATTTCCTGTTATCAAAGTGTTTAAATAAACCAATACATGGTATAACTCTCCTAAATTCAAAATCATAATCTGCTTAATTTAAACAGACAATGAGTTATCTAGCCACACTTTCACTAAAGTCTGGGCAATTAGACAAGACCAGCTATGCCAAGACTATAAAGATTAAAGATAAAATATCTATAACTGGTATAAAGAATGACCTAGGTTATTAGGAAATCCCATTAAAAGCATTTTAATAATAAAGTCTATTCAATTTTATGTTGTGAAAAGGCATTCTTTCTTTAAGTGGCTATAAAAACTATTATGAAACATCAAAAATTATACAATCTATTTTTGACTGACTTGCATTTGTTCCTTAAATGGAGATCATCCTGAAGGAGGCAACTAAGGAGATTTAGAAAAATATTTACAGTAACCGTAACTATCTCATGCACATTAGCTAATATGCTTCCAGTAAGGTTAAGAGGAAAGAGCAAAGAAAACTAAAAAAACCTTACTTTTTCTTTTTTTTAAAGTATTATAGCTGTAGTCTGGATGTCCCCCCAGGGTCTCATGCACTCATGGGAGGAGCTTTTTGAGGTGGCTGGATCAGGAGTGTGTGATGCTGGATTAGGGTGTGTGACAGAGATTAAGGGAGTGTGGTAACTGAATTCATTTAGCTTAGTTCTGGGTGTGGATAATGGAAGCCCTACTTTGGGTGTGGGAGGCACAACCGAAAAGGCTTGTAGCCTGGACAGAATATAAAGGGAAAGACAGAAGGCAGGCTGCTGGCTGTTGCTCTGCTGCTTCCTGCCTGCTCTGTCATGGATTGTCTGTCTCTCCTCTGCCATACCATCCTGGCATGCAGCCAGCCAACCATGGACTGAAACCTGTACAAACTGTGAGCTGAAATAAACCTTTCCTCCTATACTTTGGGCATCAGGTAATTTGTCTCAGCAATGACAAAGGCAACTAAGACAGTAAGGTACAGGGCATACCTTTCATTAACATTTATTTTAAAAACCATGATGCAGCTGGATGTAGCGGAAAACATCTGTAATCCCAGGCATTTTGGGAGGGTGAGGCAGCAGGATCATGAGTTCAAGCCCAACCTAAGCAACTTAGCAACTTAGTGAGGACCCATTTCAAAAACAAAAACTAAAACAAAAGCAAAAACAAAAACTAGGGCTGGTGATATAGCTTAGTGCAAAGGCCCTGGATTAAATTCTCAATACTGAAAAATAAGTAAATAAATAAATAAATGAATGAATGAATGAATGAAGCATGAAGCAGAAGGTTTAAAGGCTGACATTACCCTGTTTTGCTAGACAATCCCACAACTCACCAAAAAGCAGTCACTCTCTCTAGCACACAGTCTCTCCAGATGATGCTAACCACCGCTGACTCGGGACAGAGATCAGAAATTCACATGGACGCTTGGGTGGAACATGTGTCAGCAACATGGGGAGAGGCGGAATGTGACTCCTGAAGCGGCGTCTCAGTGTCAGTGCCCCCACTGTGGGTCTGCATGTCTTGTCCCAGGACAGACTGGTGGCCTGACCACAGCACACATCTTACCGTGGTCACACACAGGAAGTAATAACTCACCATTGCAGGATTCATGGTAACTTCTTGCCTTGAGCCAGATTCAATTAAAAAAAAAAAACTTTCTAAATATATTCTTTAACATCTCCTTTAAAATATTTATACAGATCAACTTTATTGAAAGTGAATGTACACAGATAACCAGCAAAAAGAAAATTTCCCAAGATTAGACCCCAATGGTACTTGTTAATTCATTGGAAAGGAAAGAACCCACCCAAGTGGTGGAAGCTACTTGTTTTTGCTGAGTGTCCTCTGCTTCTCCGCATGTTCCACAATCTTCTCCTCCACGTGGAGCCCCTTCCGCTTCCGCACAGCATTCATGTACTTCCGGGCCTGGTTCTCAGAATCTGCCTTTTCCCCAAAGTGCAGGTACTCCTCCTCTGTGGTGGGGACCCAGAAGGGATCACTGGGGATAATCTTGCCAGAGAAGGGGACAGGCAATGTATTTTAACTGCACTTATCAGGCTCCAAATTCATAACCTTAACTAATGAAAAAAGTCAGGCAATGAACACACAGGCTTGCTAGGAATATAATAAATACAAAGAACCATGGGACCTGCAGACAAAGCAAGTTTAATAAAGCCTGCAACATCTGTATAATTATGTACCTCAAAGAGCCCTTTCAAAACACTAATAAAAGTATTAATTTTTAATAAAAATCCTTTAAAAAGCTCTCTCTTTGCCTTGGATATGCCCGAGCATTAGTGTCTACAGTCATTTGGCCTTTGTCCTGACAAAGACCAACACACACAAACACTCATTCCTACTCATCCTGTGTGTCTGTCTGCTCTAGAATCAGTCACTCTGGTGAGCTGGAGCAGGGACCCAGACAGACACAAGCAGCTGCTCTTCCTCTATCCTCAGGCCCACACTGTTTACAGCCCAGTGCTCAGAAAAGACAAGTCTAGGGAAGCATGCCCAGGGCAGCTGCTCCAGGAGAGTATTCCTGGAGGAGGAAGGAAGGGAAGAGCTTGGGGAAGGGAAAGGGTCAGTCTGGAAGTCAGACCAGGCAGAGGGGCTCAGGCCTTCAGACAGTTGGAAGCCAAAGAGGTAGGGATGTTGGACATGGCCCTTCGTGAGCTCCATACACAAGGCACTGACTTTCAGGACAGGACAGAAGACAGTGCATGTGCTGAATGTGCCCCTTTCAGTATGGAGAACCACTACTCTCAACCTTTCCTTCATGAAGAGAAAGCCCTAGAACTGACATAGGCTTTTCCACCTCCTCGCTCATGGTCCCCATGAACACTGACCTGGTTGCTAAGTGTGAGACAAGAGTGGCTTGGCCTCTTTTTCCCTTTTTGCCCACAGAAAGTGTACCATCTGCTGCTTTCTTGCAGCTGTGTAAGAACAGACCTTGCAGCAAGAACCCTGCCTGGCCTACTACATAACTCCAGGCCAGGCAGCAGGCAGCCCGCTTGTCTACAAAGACCACATTCTCCAATATCAGCTTTATCAAAAAAAAAAAAAAATGAGAACTTGTCCTTTCTATGCCCTTTTTGGTTATTTTTCTTATTTCTCAATTGGAAGAAAAGGTTATTTATTGAGTGTCCACAAATTCTACCACTTTTCAATTAAAAGATAGAGTTGAAAGAAAATTTATTTTAAAATAGTCACTCTTCAACACTGGCAGGGAAATTCTTGTTGGCCAGGAAGGGAGAGGATTTTGGAAGGAGAAAGAGGAGACCATAGGAGTCACAGGGTGAAAAATCCCATCCACAGCCCACAGGAAGCCAAGGCAGACATGAGATAGGAGGGCCAAGCTCTTCCTGCCCACAGCCACCATCTCAGGCAGGTGGGGCTGCACTGCTCTTCTCTGGAGCTACTGAGATCAGACTCACGTGAAGTCTGCTGTCCTATGCTCTTGGTGCTGGTGAAGCACCTAGCTGAGCCATGGGTAAGGACACAGCAGGGGATCTGGTAAGCAGAGGGCAGAGGATGAGGGCACTCTTAAAATGGCCAGTGGTGAGACCACCCAGGGCAGAGCACAGGAGGAGAACTCAACTGCAGACGACCTTGGGAGGACCACAGAGCACCATGGAAGACAGAAACCAGCCTCATAGATAGCACTCTTAGAACTCCTCAGGGAAGTAAATAAAGGGAATGGACTGCATCATTGCTAAAGGAAATAACCAGAAATCCTAGACAGATAAAACAAACTCTGTACGTAGACTAAACAGAAAACTGCTGAAAAGAGAATACAGTATGTGAGTTAGTAGACAGACTTGACAGTCAGAATATATAAAGAACTCGTGTGTGTGTGTGTGTGTGTGTGTGTGTGTGTGTGTGTGTGTGTGTGTGTTTGGTACTGGGGATCGAACTCGGGACCTTGTGCTTGCGAGGCAGGCACTGGAACCACTGAGCTAAATCCCCAGCCCATAAAGAACTCTTGTAACACAACAGAAAGGCAATAAAATGGCCCACACACAAATGAAAAGATGCACATTCTGGTCATTAGGGGAACACAAATCAGAATCACAGTGAGATACCACTGTAGGCCTACTAGTACAGCTATACTAAAAGTACTTTTTTTAAAAAAAGAAAAAGAAATGTTGGTAGGCTGTGATGAAATTGAAAGCCTTACACCCTGCTGGAATGTAAAATGCTATAGTCGCTGTCAAAATTTTGGCAGTTCCCCCCCCAAATTAAACATAAAATTACCATATGATCCTACATTTCACTGCTGGGTATATACCCAAAGGAAATGCCCCTACAAGTTCACAGTTACTTTCTTCCCAATAGCTAAACAGTAGGAATGCCCAAATGCCTATCCATGGATGAGTGGCTAGGGAAAACAGGGGATATTACACAGCCACAAAAAGGAATGAATTGCTGACATACGTACTTTGATGCAGTGAAGTGAGATGAGAAAAGTCACATATTACAAGATTCTTGTGTTTAAAATATCACAGCAGATTATCTATTATACCTTTTAGTCCTTACACTTTCAGTTTCTCACACTAGAGAAACTATTCAGTATTTACATGTGTTCTGTTTATTTCACTTAAGAGTATCGCCTCAATGTGCATCCATTTAGATATAAAGGGGTAAAGGAGAAGGGGAAGTGGGAGGGGTAGGGGAAAGGAAAGAAGGGAATGGAATTAATATGAGAAAATGAAAAAATGGAAACAAAGTCTTTGTAAATAGGGAGGGATGGAGGGATTGAAGGGAGGGCAGGGGAAGGGGGGAAAATAAGAACCAAGAGAGATTATGTAAAGGTGTAAATTTCCAATGATGAATGTGATTATACAGGGACCCTCTCATTAGTCATGATGAAATCATTACTTCTAAAAATGATGCTAATGATAAAATGATGTTAATAATAATTGTAGTAAAATAATGAAAACTTAAAAAAAAATCACAGCAGATAAATCCATGGAGACAGAATGCAGGTTAGGGTTTACTAGCAACTGGGGGCAGGGAAGAAAGGAGAGGAAGTACTCAGTGGGAAAAGAGTTGTACTTTGGAGGGGTGGACTGTTTTAGAGGTGGTGGCTGCACATTGTGAATATACTAAATGCAAAAGAGTTGCTTACTTTAAAACGGTTATTTTACAATATAAGAATTTCACCTCAATAAATTATTTTTAAGAACACAGACTTACAAATATGAACAGAGGGACTACAAAAGCCATGCTGCAAGGCACCTGCCTTGTGCTGCAAGGCACTCTGTCTCGCTGCAAAGCCTGTGGCCTTCCCGACAGTGACTGCAGAGACTGAACTCACCCACCTGGCATCCACAGAGCCAGGTGCAGACACCACATCCACTGACATGTGAACAGGCCATGCAGCTGTGTCAGTGTCAAGGTTCTAGCGTGGTACTGTGCTGTACTGGTCAGAGATGCTGACCCTGGGAGGACAGAAGCAGGGTGTGTGGGATCTCTATATATGTACTGCTTATGTAACTTCCTGGGAAAAAACTTACTATAAATTTTTAAAAGCCACCATCCACAAGTTATAATTCCCTTCAGTCAGGATTACTTGTTAGAGGATGAGGTACATTTCTTAACACTTGTGAGAACCCGAGCACTTGAACTGGTCCCTCTGCTTTTCTGGGGAGGAAGTGGTGGTGGAGCATGGTGTGCCTGCTCCTCACCCAACCAAGCCAACAAAGAGGGTGCAAGGAGCGGGGAACCCAGGGTCTGTGAGTGAACTCAGGAGCAGGAGAGGCTGGCACTTCCTCAAAGCTAGGAACAGACACTGGGGCCACAGCAAATGTAGCAGGCAGTCCCCAGTGCCAGCTCACCATCAGTCCCTCCCCACTCAGCTGAGGGATTGTCCACAATCCCCTCAGTCCCCCTTGGCAGGGTGGAATTTGGAAATCTAATCTCATCAGATGCATGAGGCCTAAGGGAGACCATCAGGTGATGTAAGGAACCTGTCTTAGTTACTTTTCTCGTTGTTGAAACAAAATACACAACACTCACAAGCTAAGAGGGGAAAGGTTGATTTGTTTCACAGTTTGTAGAGGTTTCAGTTCATAATCGGCTGGCTCCAAGGCAGAGTGGAATGGCAGAGGGGCATCACAGAGGAGAAACAGTTCACGTCAGGCAGAATGTAGCAAAGCAAGCAAGTAAGGGATGTTAAGAGCATTTTCCTGTCCCTTTTATAGTCTACCTAGGCTACTGGGATTAGAGTGGTGCCAAACCAATCAGTGGACTGATTTAGTAATCACCCACCCTTAATCCTAGCACTGTACCACAAATCAGTCACAGACCCTAGATCCAGCCACCTGTGAAAAAGCTCCACCTATGACTGCATGTGGCTCTGAGGGGACATCTAGACACAAGCCATAAAAGCTGTACCTGGAATGTGGAAGGCATATCTCCTCACACCGCTGTGAGGAACTCAGGGCAGTGGCATGAGTGCAAGCCAAGGTCAGTGGAAGGGAAAAGGGAGGTATAGACTGTAGCTGATCCTCTGTGCTTCTGCGAAACCAGCAGGCTGGGGTGAAGGGACATCAGAGCCACCAAGGCGCTGCTGCTGTGCACCACAGCATGGCAGATGAATCCCGGTGCTCCCACATCATCCCCAATCCACAGCGTGGAGGAGGACATCATTAGTGTCCTCTGTGCTGGAGGAAGGACTGAAAGCCACTGGGGTGTATGTCTACCAAGCGATGAACTGACCTCTAAGGGTGCCATTAGTAAAGCCCTGGCAGGTGGCTATGTGTACCATGACACCATGAGTCTGAAGCTGGTCCCCAGCACCCTCTCCTGACCAGGTGGAGATAAACCCATCACAGAATATAACGAAGCTACATGCTCTTGGAGGGTCTAAGTTGCAGTAGCTAAATATATTTTATTTTGTTTTGGGGGGTTTTTTTGGGTACTTGGTATCAAACTCAGGACCTTGCACTTGCGAGGCAGGCGGCAGAACCACTGAGCTAAATCTCCAGTCCGCTAAATATATTTTAAATCCTGTGAAAAAATGGATGAGGTGTGAGGCAAAGAGGCATCTAGCTTAGACTAACCAATTTAAGACCAGGGTCCTTGTTTCAAAATAGAAGCCTGGCAAGGTGGTTCACTGCTGTTAATCCCAGTACTCCAGGAGGCCAAGGCAGGAAGATCGAAAGTTCAATCCCAGCCTGGGCAACTTAGTGACTGAGACCCAGTCCCAAAATAAAAGGTAAAAAATAAAAAGGGCTGGGGATATAGCTCAGTGTGAAGGCCCTGGGTTCAAACCACAAGAAAAGACCCAGGGGTTGCAAGAGCCCATCTTTGTCAGCCCTCTGGCATACTCAGAGGCTGGCTCAGTTTGCTTTCTGGGGCTCTCAGTTCCACTTCTGCACTCAGCAACATCAGCCCTGGGGATCCCTCTGGGGATGTGGCCAAAGGCAGCTCTGCACTATGCTCCTCACTCACCCTCTGCTCCTTATATCTTCCTGACTCAGCCAGGGCAGGTGCTCTGCTGTAGTCACTATGCTGCATCTGCTTGGACATGTGAGTCCACGTGCCTCCATATGCTGAGGAAACCTCAGGATAGGGCACATGGGAGGATGCCTTCTTTGGGTGGCAGAGACCAGGCTGTTGCCAAGGCTGTCGCCAAGGCTGTGTGGCCTCACCCTAGAGGGGCTGGCTCCTCACTGTGTGCACACAGCGAACACACAACTCATGGGCCTGTAGCCAGAATGTATTTTTGCAACTTAACAGCCTGAAGCAGATGCCATCTTCTAATTCACAGGAAGACGCCCCAGTGCAAGCTGTTGCCCTAGTCATTAAAAAAAAAAAGCCTAGAAGGAAAATACATTGAGGGGACCACTGCAATTTCTGCCCAAGTTTTACTGTAATGATGGTAGGCAGGTGGGAACACCACATCCAAAACAAACTGCCAGCACTCTCGGGACCCTTTCCTCACCTCGAGGGACCTGAAGTGCACCCGGGTGGTCCCTGCATGATGCATCAATCTGCAGGGTATGCTGACACACATGGACAACAGTCCTGGTTGGTCATATTTTTCCCTCTGTGCCTGATATTAGCTTCTTTTCTTCCTTTTTCTCACAGAAGGGTAAAACTTAGAGAAAATTTGAGATTGCTGACTTCAAAGGTTTCCTCATGGAAAATGCCTATAATTTTATTTTCTCTATTTTTGAAGCACTTTCTCTCAAAAGCTCTTGATTGTAAATTACATGGTGTGGTAGAATACAAACGAAAAACAGTGCCTTAGAGAGAGAACCCAGATCAACAACTGTGTTATTTCTAAACCTAACTGTGAGGGGAACTCAGACAGCCAAAAAATATCAGATCAATGACATTTAATTATAATGTCGCTTTTAAGACTTTCAAAGATTTGAAGCTTTTGGAACTAGGACCATGACAGGTGGCAAGAAGATGACAGAAGGATGGTATAAAACTGGAGCAAAACTTTTCTTGACATTTTTCTCTAACATTACTTATTAAGAAACTGACTTTTAATAACAAGCTGCAACTAAGCCAGAAACTAATAATGTTTATAAACTAAGTGTTTAAGATCAATTTTCAGTCCCCCTTTTTTAAATTCTGAGATAAAGGAAACTGGAAATCATCATGGCTTTCATAACAAAAACTGGGTTAAAACTCTGCTCTTTTTATCCTAGCTGTCCCTAAATATCTATTCTGTTTCTATTTGGGCACATGGCCATCAAGGCTCAGGGAGGGTAGGCACACTTTTCCTACAGAGTCAGGTAGTGAACATTTTGGGCTTTGTAAATATTCTCCATCCCAACTATTTAACTATGCTGGAAAGCATGCAAATGAGTAGACATGTAAATGAGTGGGTGTGGTTATATTCCAATAATGTCATTTACAGAAAGAAGCAGTGGGCCCTAGTTTGCTAACTCCTGATCAAAGCAAAGACTATACTCCCCAGGCCCCCATGTGAGGTGGGGCCTTGCTAGAAGACTGTAATGATGGCCCTAGGCAATGGGATGACTGTGTGTCCACCAGGGAAGGAGTATGGCTGCTCTCCCTACCCCATTCTTTGGCTGCACAGCAGACATGATGGTGGGAGATTAAGAGTGGTTCTGGACCATCAGTGGAAGCCAGCTGTTGAGAATGTGCCTGGGCAGCTCCCCGCACAAGCCACAGTCCACCCCAGATGTCCCCCAGACTCAGAGGAGAAATAGCCTCTGCTTTACTTGGTCCACTAGAGTCTGGCATACCTGTTATATCAGTCTTAGCTGTTTCCTAACTAACATAATTTGCCAATTAGGAAATGAGGGAAACTTTAATTTATAATTTTTTAAAATGTGCTTGATAAAATCACTTTCAAGGACAAGACTATAAAATGATGAGAGTTTTAAACAAAAAGCAGAACATATGAATTTAGTTATGTCAATCTTCCAATAGTGATACTGCTACAACAATATGAATGCTCACTTTGGGTCCATCTTTACAGTCGGTCCAGGGGAGTGCTTATCGTAGTATACTCTTTGTTCTGATCTCACACTACAGCACATTATTCTGTGCCAGTGCCGATCTAGGCCATCGTGTGTGAGATGGTCCACTTGTCAACTCTTAAGATATTCAGAGACAGGAGTTCTGATGGCAGTTTCCAGCAATGCCAGTGCCAAGGAAGAATGTATTTTGTCTCTCAAGGCCATCACACTGGAGCGGAATAAATCGCCCTCTGGTTCTGTGTCACTTAGCCACGCTGCTTGGCAGTCATGCATCTGGTCACTAAAGCTTATGCGAGAGGACTCTGAAATGCTGTTTTTCATCAGGGGCATCAGGATATATTTACACTACAGAATAGTTCCCATTCTTCGGGCACTGCCTTTCTTAATTCATTCCTTCTATTTCTTGCTGGTTTGTGTTTTATATAAAAGTTGAGTGCCAAAAATCAAAACCAAAATTGAAAAGCTAGATTTTGGATAAAGGTGAAATTACTACCCATACACTTGAGGATGAACAAGTAACTTAAAATGTTTGGGGGCTACTGTTTTCTAAATAATGAAACATGGCAATGATATAAGCCAATAAAATCATTAAACCATCATTTAGTTTTCAAAGACACAAAATGCAAGGAAGATTTCATAGAAAAATCATTGTTACAATAGAAAATCTGTACTGATCAAAGAAAATATGATCTCAATCAGAATATTAACACTGATTCGACCAAGCATTAACAATATGACTTCTAAGGACAAGCAAAGTTGTAGCCCTGGGCTAACAGCTCATTGGCATCAGTTAGGAGGTATGAACTTGTCAACCAATCAAGTTTACCCTGTACAAAGTCAGCTCTTCCAAAGTGCCACCTTTCTTCTGCTGATTCACTTGATTATAAATTTTATTTTAAAAAGAAAATTCTCCCTTAACTATTTTCTTTAAGCTTTTTGTTTTAAAGTGTTCTTGAGAAAGGATTCCATCAGGCTAAAAGAAGTGAGAGAAATAAGAAAAGCTTATCATTGAGCCTAACCATGAGTTTTGCTCAAAGAGTTTAAGAACAAAACCCTGGACCATCTGTGTGACATGTAGTGCAATGCCCCTCTTCAGAGAGCAGCCAGTACGAATGTGGTGCAAATGCAAAGAACCGCAAACAGGAAAACAACCCCAGCCATCAAGGTTTCCCATAGTCAGGCTCCAGGTAGAACATCTGCAATACTCTGTATAGGTATGAAAAATCAAGGAGGTCCCACAGCCTGTCCAAATCAGTGACACAGGTAGTAGCTGGAACCGAGACTGTCTTACCCCAATGTCAATGCTTCTTCCCCTAAATTACAACCCTCCACAGTAAAAGTGAAGTTACTTAGGTTCCCTACAAACAGGGACAACAAAAATTGCTTTTGGAAAACAATCTTCCTACTCCCATCTTTTACCTTAAAGACTCTCTACCCTGATATGAGGCTGTTTCTGCAACCTGAACTGCTTTCTGCACAGGCCTCACAGTGTCCCAAGCTGGCCTCTCCTCACCCCGCACCCTGACTGTTGGCTTACAGTGACTTCCTGTGAGGACCTGTTTCAGGGAGCTGGCCTGCCTCACTGCTGCCTCATGTGACGATTTTCCCTCAACTTCAATAATAACAAGTGCCCAATCTTTTCTTTTCCCTGCAGTACGGATCTGCTGCCTTCCTTTCTGATCACGGATATGGTTTTCCTGCTCACCTACCTTTACTTACCCTGACAGGAGAGTATTCAGATGAGCCATCTCATTCCACAATACTTAAAACCACGTAGGCCCCAAATCTCCAGAACAAGGACTGGAGAACAGGTAATACAGAATAACTTCAAGCTACTCCTTACAAACACAGTCCCTGCTGCAGAAAAACACAACCACGAACAAGAACACGAGTCTTACCTCCCAGTGGCTGAACACCAGCTGCGGGCTAGCCAGGCCACTTGTCCTCTTTCTAATCTCATCAGCAAAGCCAAAGCTTTCGGCTACAGGCAGCACTGCCTTGATGATGAACATGTCCGTCCCTTCTTTCATTTCTTCTTGAAGCACCCGGCCTTCTCTCTTTGACAAGACAGCATAGACTCGACCTGCAAAGCCAAGAATCTTTTAAGTTCATTGACTGGTCATCTGACTAGAGCCACATAAGGACATGATCATTTATCCATCCTGTAACAATGCACTAATTACTAAGCCGTGGGTATTTAAGTGTTTAGTTAAAAAGTAAAGCATAATTATACAAAAATTAGAAATAAAAGACAACAAATCCCCAAATTATATTACCCAAAGATAATCCCACAATACAGCATGGGAAGCAGGAAACTTACAAAAGGACTTTTCGATATCATTACACCTAGGAGTTATCTCTGTGTAAGAGATCCAATGAGCTCGGCGTGACTGGGCTCTGAAAATCTTAAAGTATTTTAAGAATTATAAGACAATATTAATATGTGATCATTAGGATGACACAGGCTACTTGGGCTGAGCAAGCAAGTGCATGACGTCATTTCATAAATGTGTTTTCGTATTTTTCTTAAACTGGTAATATTTAAGTGGTGTGGTTTTATTCCACTAGAAATTGATAGCATTTGGAATCTTCCATGTCTGATAACAGTTTCTAGTGTCACATCACAAGAATTCTAGCAGATTCTTCTGGCTGACACCTTTAATGTATCTTCAGACACAGTTCTGCCTCACACTAAGGAGGGAAGGGAGATTGGCCCTTAGACTGGCATGCGTACAAATGTCTGTGGGTACTCAAAGTAACCTTTTGACTAGGAAGCAGAACAGATTGTAGAGAACAAAGATGAACTAAAAATCTCAGATAATCCTGTAGAACTTGGTGTAGCTAGCAGATACTCTCATTACATCTTCCTCTTTCACCTACTGCTTAAAAAATCATTTTAATTACACAAGTGGCCTATGTATATGTAAATATGCAACATGGCAGTTAAGCAGAGTCAGAGTCTCCCAGACCCTCCTCTCCTAGCTAACAAGACAACGACTCTGGTGCACAGTCCACCCACCCATCATCATCCTGTGCTTTAAACCAGGATCTGAGGACACAGCACACCTGACTCATGCTTCTCTCCAATAAAGATTTCCTCTTGTTAGTGAAGATTAGGAAGAATCAATGGAAACCATCTTCAGAAAACTTATGGTGTCATGAGGCCTTAATGGGTTTAAAATGAATGAATGAATAAACAAATGAACAGTCCTATGCATTAGTCATGCAAGGCACTGCCTCTACTCTGGTCTAGCCTCCAGCTGGCTGCCATAGCTTCCTTCTTTCTTCCCCTTCAAAGGTAGCTCCTGTTTCTCCCCTGCATGACCTTTCACACTGATGCTTTGCTCCTTCCCTGGTGTCTATCCAAACTGCTTCCTTGAAATTTCACGGCAATTTCCACATTCTTAACTCGATGGGTGCCTTTTTCTGAATCCTCATTCTGCCTAATTTCCCTGTGGTATTTGAAGCTACCATCAGTGCCTTCTCTGGCAACTCTTGCCAGTCTTAGCATTACCCTCCTTACATTCCTGGCCTCTGACCAGCATTCTACTGTTTATCTCAGTAACTCCTGAAGGTGTAAATTTCTTCCTGTAGGTACTCTTTGAAGCTTCATCTCGTTTCAACTCTTCCTCTCAGAGAACCAATTCATTTCTCAGTTGTGTGGTTTAAACTCATTTCACGCCTGAAATGTCCAAGTCTATCTCCAAGCTAGACCCCCTCCTCTGACCTCAATCACATTTACAATGGCTGCCAGGGCATCGCTACTATGGAACCCAACTTCTTTTTAAATTCAACATGGGCAAGTATTACTACCTAATGCAAAAGGCAATGCCACTCTCCCAACTGTAGTCATTCCCCTCTGTCATATGTTCTAGAAGTGTCAAGAATTACAGAATCACAACAGCGGGCTAGAAGGAACTCAAAGACCCTCAAGTTCTGCTCCATTAGTCACTTCAACTCTGCATGCAAAGACTAAAACTCAGCTACCCAGCGCAGGGCTCCATCTTCCTCTAGCCATAACAGCCACACAACCCTGAGCCTCAAATCGGTTCCTCTTTAGTTTCTACCTATGAGTCCCAGTTTCTACCCAGCTTTATCAAATGGGACAAGTTTAATTCTTCCTCCACAAATCAGTCTTCTCTTTCCTAAATCAATCTTCCTGTGACATGCTCTGTACTTCCTTTCTATCCTAGCCACTTTCCTATTTCAACTCCCATGATTGCTCATCTCTTAGTATGTGTTACCTGGAAATAAATATATTGTAATACTTCTAGCCTGGCAAGCTCTAAGAAAAGCAATACAACTGTTATAATCATCAGTAATTCCCTTTAGGCTATATATTATTTGTCTGAGATATGCAGAAAAGAAAATCTTGCCATAATAGCTAGTGGGTACAAACTAGTAATCTTTATTCTTCTACCTAACCCTAAGAAAACTTTTAATGTGGTCTATGGAAGCAAATATGAAAAAACAGGTGAAAAGGATTGAGGAAATTGGGGCAGAGGGACCAGGACAAGCAGCCAGTGGGGAAAGGCTGCCAGACTGCTGCTGCAGTGCAGGCTATAGCTCCTCCCATGCCACAGGGCTTGGATCAATAACTGTAATTGAAACCAAATGTAATTAATCATGTACTATACTTTTGGGCCATTTGATTTTAATTCCACTGAAACTATATTCCAAAATTGGAGCATAATGATGGATCACCAAACAAAGGAAACACTCTAACAGAACTTCCCCAACATATGTGGCTCTCCTGACAGGTGTGTCCAGTGCTTCCATGCACTCAGAGTCCCCTAAACCTGCCAATGTTACCACTGGGAAATTAATGTGGCCAAATCAAAAACAACTTCTGATGGTATGGTTCACAGGGCATCAGCACCAGACATGGCTCATTCATTCACTCACTTGCTTAGCAAAAGATCCCTGAGTGCTCTGCTGTATGAAGGATACCAGAGAAGAAGAATTCCTCAGGGGAACAAAAAGCAAGAGAGTTAATCACCGGAAGTGTTTGGAACTGGGCCAGATTCTCACCAACTACTATATGAATGTTTCATTCTTAAGCAAGGCCCCAAGACTGGTACTGACCTACAGTTTCAGCTCCTGTGACAGTCACAGCCAAAGTAACAAGGGCATAGACTGCCTGCTCTGAGCCAAGGAGACTGCTCCCTGCCCACAGCACCCTCAGACTTCACAGTTCCTCCAGCTGCAACACACAGTCTCAGATTTTCTCATCATTCATGGCCCATTCAAAAACAACCTGCTTTATGAAGTCTGATGTCCCTAAGTTCAAAACACTCTTCCCCATTTGAGCTCCAGCGAACCTTATCTGTTCTGTTATGGCATTGCAGATTCATATATGCACACTGCCTTCTTTGACAGAGCTAGGACTGTTGATTCTATAATCTTTAAAAGTGGAAGGCAAGTTGAGGTACACTGTCTTTTTCTCAATTTAAGAAAGGAACCAGGTGCCCACAGCAATTTTTTTCACTAGTAATAAGCCAAGAGGAAACAACATGTACTCCTAATGTAAATTATAGCACATTTAATTAAGAATTATTAGAATACTTATGATATATTAAAACACATATGTCCTAACAATGTCAGCATTCGCTCCTACAATAGAATACTCAAAGTTGGGATTAAAACTTTAGTACTGCCAAAGAGGTATTTTTAAAATGTGAGGTTACTGCAAAAGAGTAAAAAAACAAAAATGAAAGAAGTTAACAGTTTAGAAAAAATACAGAGACAAATTACTGCTTTTGTGACAAGTAAAAATACACAGTACTACTGATGGCCAAAGAAGCCCATTAAAAGGAACTGTCATGGGTTAAAAAATAATGTGAGAAAAGGAAAGGGGGGGGGCATTGTCTTGAGATTCTTTCCCCAGATAAAATAATTCTGTGATTATTTTCCTCTAAAATTTCTCATTTCAATTATATGTAATTCCGCCCATTTATGAAAGGATTTATTGTCTTAACAATCCGTGAAGAAATAATTAAGTTTTAAAACAATTAAGGAGATTCACTTTGCTAAATAAAAACACAGCCTAAAAACAACTTGTGTTGATTTCTAGAGAATTAAAAGGAATGGTCAGCAAAGTCAGACTCTGTCTCAGATCTTTTAACAGGAAGTTCCTGCAGACAGGAAGCAAACTTGAGAAACACAGTAAACTCTCTTCGTTTCTTTTTCCACTTGAAGTTGCTGATTTAGAAAGAAAAGGGAAAATACAAGTCAATAGCCAACCGTGCAGATACACCTGGGACTCCCGAGAATGGCCATCAAAGAGCCCCTCAAAAGCAGTAAGAAAATAGGCCTCAGAGCAGACTGTCTAATCTAAGCAAGAGAACTGCAAATCACTTCAGGGGGAAAAAAGTTCAGATCAGAGCCAGTTTCTCTGAAGGCATTGGTGTGACAGCCAGTCGGTATCAGGAAAATGCGTTAAGTGGTACCAGGGACATTGGTCCACAGATGGTACACTGACCAACCCATAGCCACACAGCTGCCACAGTGGGGAAATAAGTGGGAATTCACAGTGGGTGTGTGTGGGGTTCTCGAAGCCTGGCATAGTGGCAACTACAGTGGGTAAGGCAAGGAAGAAAGGTACTCTGCCCCAGAGAGAAAAGAGGACGAATAACCCCAAGGGCCTCTCCAGAAAGTAGCAGAACAGAGTCCAGTGGCAGCAAGGTAAAGAAAGGCAGGATGGGATAAAAGAACCAATGATAAATGGTAATTTGAGGTACTGTCCTAGGGAGGCCTGGTCACATACAGGGTCCAGGTGGTGATTTCCTACTGAAAACGAGAAAATGCACAGAGAAGGATGACTCAACAGGGTGCTAGTAATTTCAATCTGATAAATCCCAACAGCAGATTCTGCCTTCATGTGGTATGCTGAAAATTTGTCTTTTCAGAAAACAAAAGGATAAGGGCAATTTGAATGGATCACACAGAAGTGATGGCAATTTGGAAAAAAACAATGTGTTACCATTGTTTTGGAAGGGAAAATAGTTCCCATAATCTTGACAGAAAGGACAGGATAGAGCTACATGGGCCCTAGACTTTGGGAAGATCATTTCAAACATATAG